ACGTGGAGACCCTGCTGGCTGCCGACGCCTCCATGGCGCGCTTCTACGGGCCCGAGCTCGAGGTAAGCGGCGCCGCCTCCACCTCCTCCTCCTCCTCCTCCTGCTGCTGCTGTCCGGGACGCGAGGCTGGAGGGCGCAGGAACAGCGCGGCTGTCACGTAGCCCCGAGAGCCTCTGCCCCGGCGCGGCGCGGCGCGCACCTGCGCCTCCACCCCGACCGGCAGCAGCCAGGGGGCCGCTTGACTTCACCTGCTTCCCAGGGCTCACCTGAGACCACGGATAAAACTAACCCTTCGTCCCACCCGGGTGCAGGACCCGCTCGCTGCTAATGAAGCGGTCTTGCTGCCCCGCTCATCACAGGTTGAGAGATTGCTAAGGGCTGGAAGGGACCATGTAGATCATCGGGTCCAGCCCCCCATGCAATTCTCCTGTCCTAAGGCAGCTCCTATTTCACAGCCCCACAGACTGTTGTTTTCTTTTTTTTTTACTCTAGCTAAAAAACATTAGCTCAAGCGTGGAAATAACTTTCAGTGAAGCGTTGCATGTGCTGTCAAGACGCTCGAGGGGGCTAGATTTTGTTTCGTGAATCTGAAAGAGAGGTCCGTTTAATTCTGACAGCTACAGGACATAGGTTGATTGTGTGTTGCCTAGTTCATTGTGGGGTTTTTTTATACATCATGTAAGATATCAGAAATTTATCATTGCTTTTTGTGTGACCTTCAGCTGAATAATATAGTCCTAGGCCACTAGCTTATTAGTAAAGCATCTAGCTTTCTTTTTAACTCGATAAAAGGATGTGTTGTGTTATATGGGACAATGCATCACATCATCTGCATCACCCCCTTTCCAAAATCCTAGATCCACCCATGGCCCAAACCTAACCCTTTAACCTTCCAGCCACTTGCTGCCCTTCCTCATCCTCCCCAGAGGTACCCCTGTAAAGGTCAATTAACCTGCTTTTTACAGATTCACAGAAGTTCAGGGCTGGAAGGGACCTCATCAGATCATTGGGTCCAGCCCCTCTTTGTAAGGCATCGTATGGCCCCATAAAGGTTGCAATGTGCCCCCGTAAATCCATGTATAACTCCTCTTAGAGTGATCATAATACAAATAATCCCTAGCACATAAGTAGCAATTTTCATCTTTCTGTTTCACAGCTTTTTCCAAGGGAAAGGGGTATCATACGAATGGGTAGGGTGACCGTATGTCCTGGATTTTCTAGGCTCTCAGCATCCCGGCCACTGGAAAAAATTTAAGCAAAAGTCCCGGATTGGCGGGAACTTGGGAGCCACAGGGTTGGGGCTGTGTCTGTGTGTAGGCGCCGCACGGTCCTGCCTGCCTGCTCCTGGGAGCCGCGTGGTGGAGTGTACATGTATGTGTGCGGCAGGCAGCTGTCAGGACGTGCTGGGGAGCACGGTGCCTTTCTCACCAGAACCGGGGCCAGGGTTGGGCACCGGCCGGCTGGGGAGCTGCATGGGCTCTGTCTGCTCTATGCTGACTCATGGCTCTGGCCCCATCCTGGCACCTGCAGCCACATCCTGGCTGTGCGCTGCCAGGCCAGGCCAGCCACACTGCAGTCCCCATGCAGAAAGCTCAGCCCAGCCCGGCTGCGCCTGCCCTAACTGTAGTGGGGTGTGAGACTGGGGCTGGCTGCGCCTGCCCGGACCAGGATGCAATTGCAGGTGCCAGAATGAGACCAGAGCTGTCAGTCAGACAGAGCCCGCAGACCATAACCCTGGCTCCAGTGACAAAGGCACCACACTTCGGGCAGCTGCTCCAACCCTGCCTGCTGCCATGCACTGGCCTGGCACATGTTTGTGTGCTCATGCACGTACGCAGACACCTCTTGGCACTTCCTGCCCCCCATCCCAGATTTCCCTAAAATAATTATAGTCATCCTACTAATGGGCCATATCCAGGTGGGAGCAGGTGCATGTGACTGAGCAAAGGATGTGCAGGAGACTGGCAGGACTTGATTCTGCTGCTGTTCCACACCCTGAAGTCTTGCTGATGTCAGGGGTTATTTGGATGCCGATGGGTTACGGGGCTGGGTAAGGTCTTGTCTGACTGAATCAAGCAAGTAGGATGGCACTGGGGTGACTGTTAGAGTAAAGCCACAGTCTGTCTTCTTCTTCCCTAACATCCCCTTCCCAAAGCTCTCCCTACTGCTGCATCTTCTCCTTCTGCCTCCGTTGCATTAGGACCTAATCCTGACAGGTATTAAACACACAACCTCCTTCTGACTTCCATGTGAAGAAAAAGTCCCTACCCCAGAGAGTTTACACTCTAATAGACCTGGAGGTTAAACATCACCTTGAGCTGAATCTCAAGGTCCTAATTCTTCTTTGATTCAATCCTTGAAGTCAATTAGAGTTTAGCATGCACAAGTTCTAGATGATGGCCTTTTGTAACAGACGGGATGCTCATGGCCCAGCATAGTAATAATATATTTTTCCATCCATCTTGTCCTGATTAAAGTTGTCAGACGGGAGCTGGTTTTAAATAGTCTCAAGTTTTCTGGATCTGTCCCCAGCTTGTGAACAAAGTCCTTTATAGCTGCCTAGAGATGCCTGGGTGTAATAATCAACAGAGCTCCTAGCAAGTGCCTGATCCAGTGGGTAATAGGGTGGTAGTTCCTCATGGTACAGCTACTCTGGAAGCCACATCACCACTGAGCTGCACATAGACAAAGCCAATGAGCTGGATGCCAATATTTTAACAAGGAATATCTATAGGACCAGTCCAGAGGCCAGGGGCCACAGAGAGCCAAGTAAACTGTGTGCTTGCCCCACTAAGGGATCCAAAGACATTAAGGAGTGAAGGGATTTTAATTCCAATCAACTGTTGGGTAATACCAAATTGTTTCATGAAGGGGAGTGGAAATGCATGCAAGTGGGCTTCTCAGCTCTGCTGTGTAAACATGGAGTTACTCTCTCAGTTTACACTAAAGTTAGAGACTGACCTGTCCTCTTCTATCCAGACACAGCTGGGCCTATTAGGTTTAGTGGAGTGACTTAAGAGGAAGACCTGGGGTAAGACCTATCCCATTCACTTTCAGAAACTTAACCAGCCGACCACAGCCCCAGTCCCTTCTTGCCAGCTTCTCTGCTTATTCAGAAGGAGATTTTTTTCCCCAATATTTTTCAAGGCAGTTTGTTTTAGAGAAAGGGGAAAACATGGATTAAATATTTCATTAATGGAATCAATATTTGGTAGGGGTGCACCAATAAAGATTTTCTTGGCCAATACCGATAGCTGATTATTAACCAGCCACATCAGCCAATACGGATCGATAACTGATATTAACTGCGGGTTGAGTCATGCTGCAGGTGAAGTCACGCTGGGCCGGGCAGCTCATCCCCTACCTGCTTCAGTCACAGCTGCAGTATTCAGCGCCTTTTACAGCATTTGCCACGGCCCCAGCCCACAGCCCGCACCACTCAAGTGCCTGAGACACGCAGCAGCTGCTCTACTCCAGCCCAGCCCAGCCTGCCAGTGGGGATGGGGGTGTATCTGGGGCTACCCCAGCTTGCAGGAGGAAACCCAGGCATCCGGGGGCCGTGACCCCATGGGCTAGAGGGAACCCAGGCATCTGGTGGCTGCGGCCAAAAGGCATAATTATCAGAGAACATTATTGGCTACAACAGCCAAAAAAGCCAATAGCCAATAATGTAAATTTCCCTTTTTATCAGTGCCGATCCAATGGGTGACTGATATATCGGTGCGCCTCTAATATTTGGAGGGCAAAATCTCTTCCAAAAGTCCAGAGTGGTAAAAACACCAGAGCTCTGCTCTGCTCCTTCCATCATCCCCAGCAAGAATTTCTGCAGATGGATCTCAGCTCTTGATGGGCCCTAATGGAAAAGTAAAACCCAGCTGGCCCCGCCATAGCTATACTGGCTATACTGGGTCAATGGAAGTGAAGACTTGTGTGCGTCAGGGAGATCAGTGGGAGGCACACCAAGAACAGAAATGTTGAGTCAGAAGGGGCCATATTTACATAGTTAGTTTTCTTCTCAGAACCACTCTTTAATTACCAAATATTTATTAAAGGTCAAAAGCATTGTTTATAGTACAAGTTATCTTCTTACATAAGCTGTAATAGATTGGGCATCAGATATCCACAATAAGAAGATACAGGAGAGTTTGAGGGTTTGTCAGCTAAAATCTATTTCACATGGTTAGCAGAGAGATTTTTATAGGTGATTTATTTTCAATCGGGCCACTGCTCCAGCTCTCCTTTTTGAGCTCAGCTCTCAGCTAATCTAGACGGTGAGGGCTGGGTTCTGCTTTCACGTATTTTGGTGTAAATCAGAAATAACTATGCTGAAGTCAGTCGGGGAAGTAAGATCAGAATTAGGCTTTAAATCACTGGATTTCTGATCATGCTTCTGGAGCAGATTAGCCCACTAAACATTTGTGTTTGCAGCCACTCAGCCTCTTCTGGTAGAGTGCTGAGCACCTCTTGAGCAGTGTTGTGTGCTTTCAATTCAACAGCACCTGAGCATTCAGCTTCCTCTGGGAGCAGGCCAAGACTTTGCAGGGCTGTTTCAGCAGTGATGAGAAGTACCTAGAGTCTTCCCAACCTTCTTAACCTCAATATCCCCATCGGACAATACCAATTCTGGGCTTTTGCTCTGTTTTGTGCCTACAGAAAAATAATAGACCAACTCTTCTGTTGCAAAGAACTCCGACCAGAACAGGGCCAGATGGTTTTGACGCTCTGGATTCCCATTCCTAACCGCTGGGTTTGGCCTGAGTCATGTGCAGAGGTTGGCACGCATAACAGTGCTAATATTGCACAGCTCCCAGCAGCACCCTTAAAAGGATCTCATGGCACCCCAGAGTGCTGTGGCACCCTGATTGAGAATCACTGCTTTGCAGTGATGGGTGAAAATACATCAGCACGCCATTGTAAGTCTTTTCACTTTCCTGCCATAGGTGCCGAAAGACTTTAAAAGGGAAGATGAGCATCATTAGCACTACTAACTTGCTCATGACAGATAAGGAAACAGGCATAAAAAGATCTTCAGGGTGCTTAGCCCTCACAAATCCATCCAACT